GAAAAGACCCAATGGAGTATGGGTTGTCTAATCGCTGTTATATATTGACATACTATTAAGTCCCAAGTTTAGAAAGGATTAAGCTGAAGGATATATGAAATGGAAAAATATGGTTACAATAGATTTGGAATACAGTTCTTTCAAAGAAAATTAAAATCGCTTAGTAAACCAATGCAAATATAGATGTCTCAATAAAATATCAAATTATCTATTACAAAAGTAGAAATAGAAAAATATTTTGTTTGGGTTAAGTAGATAAATCTTACCATTATTGATAAGTTCTGAGAAAGATTACAGAAACAAAAGTATCTAGAACAAGAGATAGCCATTGCATAAAATGACATAATAAAAGGAACATGGTCTCATTTAACATTTTGTCAGTTGCTCTGCTCTCCTCAATTCTATGAAAGCACACACAATAAATTTGTATTATCTCATAAACGTAAAGTTTTAATTAAGTTATAATTAACTTAATTATCTCATAAAATTAAAATGTATGATTGAATGTAATTGACTTCAGAACTGATGAAAAAATATGTTTTATAAAAACATAGTTCATACCTAAAATTTATAGTAACCAGAACTTAATATCATATGGGTTTCCATGGATATTAATATAAAAGAATTATGCATTGAGGATTAAATAGCAAAAACCCAATTTACTAACTTTGCAAAGACTTTGGGAAGCTTATAAATTTGATTTGTTCACAGTGCTTTATTCAATGAGCCTTTAATCTGATAGTATTTATTTCTTCCTTGTTTATTAAGGTCAATCACAGTGATTGTTCTTCATGATTATGTGGGTTGCAGAACCTTTGAGGTACCTTATTCAACACATCTGGGAGCCATAAAAGAATTAATTTATCTTGAGACGGGTTTTCCAGTCGCTGAGCAGTCTCTGTTCTACCAGGGAAGAGAGGTAAGGAAGAACTTCCAATGCCACCTGCAGTCACATGTCTGCCCTTGGCACCATGGTCGCATTTAAGGCTGTTTGCAGCATCCCTTCACCTTGTTTTATGATAGTTTTGCTGAAAAACCAGCATTTCCAGTTTTTGGCAAAAGCACACCATAGTGAACAAAGGGTTTGCTTAACAACTGTAGTGTTTCCACTTGCAGCCGCAGCTTTTTGCTTAACAACCACCTTAAAAAAACGTAAAATGAGGTCAATCACTTTATGATCATTACAACTTATGACTGTAATGTGGATGCTGCATTAGGGTCATAACTGAATGTGAAACTGAATACAAGTAGTCCTCAACTTGCAACCATTTGTTTAGTGAAACTAACAGTAATAATTTCTGGTAACCCACTACTTAGTGACTGTTCAAAGTTAGAACGGCACTCAAAAACGTAACTTATGATTGTTTTTTAAAGAGATGACCATTACAGCATCCTCATGGTCACATGACAAAAATTGGGATGCTTGGCAACTGGCATGTATTTATGATGATTGCAGTGTCCTGTGGTCATGTGATCACCTTTTGGGACTTTCTGACAAAGTTAATGGGGAAGCCAGATTCATTTAACAACCGTGTTACTAACTTAGCAACTGCAGTGATTCACTTAACTGTGTCAAGAAAGATCGTAAAGTGAGACAAAATTCATTTAACAACTTCTTGCTTCACAACAGAACATTTGGCTCAATTATGATTATGTTGAAGACCACCCCCCCCGTATTGAACATTTCTATCTTATTAATGGGCTTGTTGCTTCACAACATAGGCAATAAAAGTTTAGTATTTTTTTTATCAGCATATAATATTCAATGATTTTTTTGAGGTGGCATTTGGTAACTGTAGCCATTTATTGATTGGTATCATATAAAGTAATTAATTGTTGATGCTTATTTAGGAACATAGAACGTTAAATAATATTCTTTTTCTTGTAGTTGTTTGATTGGGTCACGGTTGGGAACCTTCAGTCTTCTCAGAATCATGTATTTCTAAATCTTTTGTCCAAGGGCTTAAAAGGAGGAGGTATAGTAAATTATAATATGCTAACTATTCATTTCTTTACCTGTTCATTTTTCCTTATTCATGTTTTTCTAGTATTTGTATTTTTAAAAATTGAAATATTCTAATGAAAAAATACAGTAGACATTCTTGTGTATTGTAAATGAAATTGATTTGTTAGTAATTTGATATAGAAATAAATATCTCAAATTCTAGCAATACCTTTATTCTGTTTTAGGAGCGTGTATTTAGTTTGATATTGCTGTTCATATGTAACATCTTACAAAAAAAAAAAAAATCTTTGTCACAACCAATATAAAATTTTCAGGTGCCCATACAAAAGTACTTGTCCTCTATGTGCTTATGAGATTGGATTTGTACATCACATAAACCCATAATGTACATGGTTCATTTTAGGATAGTAAACTAGTTTGAGGCCATAGTTATATTGGCTTATGTACTGCTCCTATAGCAAAGCAATTTATACGAATATGGGCACTTAGATTTATGATTTTCCATCTTATTCCTACTTTGCTCTTGTGCTACGCCAATCAACCCTAAGAAATATAAATGCAATTTCCATTAAAAAAAAGAATATAAATCAGGACTTGACAAAATAAGCTACAGATACTTTATTCATCTTTAATATTGGCTGTTTCTGGTGTTTTTAAGAAACCATGGCTTTACAGGCTGTAGCTTTTTGTAATGAGTGCAGATGTTACTGTGTCCTATTTTTGTGCAGGTTTCAAAATTGGATTTCTCTGGGGAGATGTTTGCACTGGCTTTCCTTTATAAAATGTATCTGGGTTTGGTCCTTCTATTTTTAATCCCTACAAATAAATAAATTTCATACAGTAGTGCCTCTGAAGCAATATGAAAAATTAAGACGAGGCCTTCCATTTACTTGGCTTTGATTCATAAGTGCTTATGAGAGCTACAAGAACACTCATATTCTCATAATATGGAACTAGATTTGGGATTTAAAGAGATATGCCCTTTTTCATTTTTGTTTATACATTTTATTTTAATTCTCTGATTGTTATTACTATTTACTTGATTTTTAACCTGCCTTTTCACAGAACAGCTACCAGTAAGTGAGAGTAAGCTGTTACTGAGATTCTTCCTTTAAACATCTGAAACCAATTCTGTAATGAAAAGTATATTTTCCAGTATTTCAACTGCAGGAGTACCAGTTTTATTTTATTTTATTTAGGTCGCTTTGGGCAAACCACTCCTCCACTTGTTGATTTCCTTAAAGATATTTTAAGAAGATACCCAGAAGGAGGGCAAATTCTTAAGGTAATTAAAAGTATTGTACCTATCATCTAATATTGTTGTTGTTTTGTTAGTTATGTAATATTGTTTGTCAGTCCAGCCTTTCTACTGTTTCCAAAAAATTGTAGTGAAATGGGCATAGACTAAAGGATATTAGGTTTAGAATTCTAGATGGTTGTTAAATTTAAAAAAATAGCAATAATGCTAAAAGGAACAGGGAGCTGAAACTTACTCCTGTCTTTTCCATCTTGATAAATCATGGCATGTTGTGATACCACAGCAAATTCACTAACTGTGCAGAGGCAGAACCTGAATGGAACTGTGTATCCCAGATAGATTTATAAATACATTTTCCCCAGAGAACGAGCTATTATTTGCATACCTAAAATTTGGTACTAAGATTTCATAACATAATTTTGAGAATCATAACTTACTGATTTGTCAGTAAAGAATATTGTTTCATATGAACGTTTACTTTAAATATAGAAGCTGAATTATAAAGGGAAGGTATAAACAACTTTTTCCACACCTAAATGTTTTGATAAGAAGCAAAAGAATTTGAAATGCTAATCAAAAATATTTGATCTAGTTTGTGGCAAAGAGAAGATAAAGATAGTGCCAACACTGACCTTCCGTAGGGTTTTGCCTAAAGTTGTGATTAGTTAGAATAGAATAGAATAACAGAGTTGGAAGGGACCTTGGAGGTCTTCTAGTCCAACCCCCTGCTTAGGCAGGAAACCCTACACCACTTCAGACAAATGGTTATCCAACATCTTCTTAAAAACTCCTAGTGTTGGAGCATTCACAACTTCTGGAGGCAAGTTGTTCCACTGATTAATTGTTCTAACTGTCAGGAAATTTCTCCTTAGTTCTAAGTTACTTCTCTCCTTGATTTGTTTCCACTCATTGCTTCTTGTCTTACCCTAGCTTGACTCTCTCTTCTTTGTGGCAGCCCCTGAGATATTAGAACATTGCTATTATGTCTCCACTAGTCATTCTTTTCATTAAACTAGACATACCCAGTTCCTGCAACCGTTCTTCATATGTTTTAGCCTCCAGGCGCCTAATCATCTTTGTTGCTCTTCTCTGCACTCTTTCTAGAGTCTCCACATCTTTTTTATATCGTGGCGACCAAAACTGAATGCAGTATTCCAAGTATGGCCTTACTAAGGCATTATAAAGTGGTATTAACACTTCACGTGATCTTGACTCTATCCCTCTGTTTATGCAGCCCAGGACTGTGTTGGCTTTTTTTGGCAGCTGCTGCACACTGCTGGTTCATATTTAAATGGTTGTGCACTAGGACTCCAAGATCCCTCTCAAAGTTACTACTATTGAGCAAGGTACCTCATATATTGTACCTGTGCATTTTGTTTTTCTTGCCAAAATGCAGAACCTTACTTTTTTCACCATTGAATTTCATTTTGTTAGATAGCGCCCAATGTTCTGGTCCAGAATGCGGCCGCGCGGGTAGTTACGGGAGCTGCATGGCGCTCCCACATAACACCTCTCCTGCGTGAGCTGCACTGGCTCCCAGTGGTCTTCCGGGTGCGCTTCAAGGTATTGGTTCTCACCTTTAAAGCGCTCCATGGCATAGGACCTGGATATCTTCGAGACCGCCTGCTGCTACCAATGGCCTCCCACCGACCTGTGCACTCCCACAGAGAGGGCCTCCTCAGGGTGCCATTGGCCAAGCAATGTAGACTGGTGGCCCCCAGGGGGAGGGCCTTCTCTGTGGGGGCACCTGCCCTCTGGAATCAACTGCCCCCAGCGATACGAAGAATTCATGACCTTGGTGCCTTCCGCCGTGCCCTGAAGACCTTTCTTTTTCAGCAAGCCGGGCTGGCTTAACACTTTTTAAAATGTTTTTAATAGGTTTGTTATTGTTCTTTTAATTATGGGGCCAAACGTATATATATCTTTTTAACTGTATTTTAATGTTTGTATCTATGTTTTTTACTTTGGCTGTACACCGCCCTGAGTCCTTCGGGAGAAGGGCAGTATATAAATTTGATAATAAATAAAAATAAATAAATAAATGTTCGAGTCTGTCAAGATCCTTCTGTATCTTAAGCCTATCTTCTGGAGTGTTGGCTATCCCTGCCAGCTTGGTGTAATCTGCAGATTTGATGAATTCCCCATCTATATCCTCGTCCAAGTCTTGGTGAAGATGTTGAAGAGTACTGGGCCTAAAACAGAGCCTATTCCCCTCTATGTAGATGCAGTTCCAGATTACATCTCCACCCCAGGCCACCCCAATGATGCCCTTAAAGTGATGTCCCAGTGCCTGGAGGCCGTGCGGGCCTGGATGGGGAGAAACAGGCTCCAACTCAACCCCTCCAAGACCGAGTGGCTGTGGCTTCCGGCGTCCCGATATAGCCAGCTGACGCCATCGCTGGCTATTGGGGGCGAATCACTCGCCCCCACGGAGAGGGCTCGTAACTTGGGCGTCCTCCTGGACGCACGGCTGTCGTTAGAAGATCATTTGGCGGCCGTGGCCAGGGGGGCTTTTTATCAGGTCCGCCTGATACGCCAGTTGCGCCCCTTTCTAGATCGGGACTCCCTACGCACAGTCACTCGTCACTTCCCGCCTGGACTACTGCAACGCTCTCTACATGGGGCTCCCCCTGGGGTGCACCCGGAGGCTCCAGCTGGTCCAGAACGCGGCCGCGCGGGGGATTTTGGGGGCGACGAGGCGCTCCCACGTGACACCTCTCCTGCGCGAGCTGCACTGGCTCCCGGTGGTCTTCCGGGTGCGCTTCAAGGTGTTGGTGACCACCTTTAAAGCGCTCCATGGCTTAGGGCCGGGGTACTTACGAGACCGCCTTCTGCCACCAATAGCCTCCCACCGGCCAGTACGCTCCCACAGAGTGGGCCTCCTCAGGGTGCCGTCCGCCAGACAATGTCGGCTGGCGACCCCCAGGGGGAGAGCCTTCTCTGTGGCGGCGCCCACCCTCTGGAACAACCTCCCCCCAGAGCTACGTACAATAACAGACCTCCGGATTTTTCGTCGGGCCCTAAAAACCCATTTATTTCAACTAGCTGGGCTGGCTTGAGTCAAATTTTAAACGGATTTTAAATTGGAATGTTTTAATTACGGCCAAAATTATTTAATTATTTTAAACAGATTTTAGATTTTATATGTTTCGTATGTATGTCTTGTTTTTACTTTGGCTGTTCACCGCCCTGAGTCCTACATTGGAGAAGGGCGGTATAGAAATTTAAACAAATAAATAAATAAAATAATAATATCCTTAAACTGATTCTTACCAAATAGCCAAAAAATATTATTTGTCATCCTAAAAGGCAGGGTATAGCACAGTTTAAATTATAGTAAAGCAAATTCCAGCTGGAAGTTGTAGAATATTTTCTAGCAGAAAGATCAGTTTATCAGTGAAACCAGTTATCCAAGAGTGATCAAAATATCTGTCCAAACCTATTTTGCTTTGGCAGCAATCTTGGTTGAAAAGTTTTTGGGTTCATGTATGTGTATCTTCAGATGATGAAGGGAAGACCTCACGGTATGTACACCAGTGTATTTTTAACTTGGCAACTTTAAGATGTGTGGACTCTCAGAATTCCCTAGCCAGCTGGTTTGTTGCCGAGTTTGAAAACCACTGATCTACAGTAAGTATTCAAGAAGATAGGGGGGAGGGGTGTGTGTCTTTTTTTCTTTTTTCTTTTGGAGGAAGGGTGTTCAGTGGTTGCTTTTTAAATCATCCCTCTAAACACTTTAGTTAGCCCTAGTGGATAAATATGTGTTGTGGATATTTTAATTCAAATTGTGGAGCATGGAGTTTGATTCAGCAATCTAACTGACCTTTCAAATCTATTATTCTTCTGTGATGCATGATTAAGTACCTGAATATTCTTGCTTTCTTTTTTCCTGTGCATTCCTTTCCCTTTTATAATTTTTAGATTACAAGATTGAGATCAAGGACTACCTTTTTTTAAAGTTACAAACTGTCTTGCAATTCCAGCTCCAAACCAATCATTTAATCACTCAGTCATTAATCTGAGGTAAAATACTTTTCCAAATGTGTCATCATTGCCTTTGACAAAAGAAGTGCCTATTTGTAATTTTAATACAATTTTAGCGTAAGTGTATTTTGCAACCTTGCTTCTTCATCTTTGTCCCTGCGTCACAACTGTAGTACTCTAATCAACTGAGCTTTCGATTAATATGAATTAGAATATTTTAACGTAATATTTGTTCCATTCTGTTTCCAGGAATTAATTCAGAATGCAGAAGATGCTGGGGCTACAGAAGTTAGGTTTCTCTATGATGAAACTCAATATGGAACAGAGAGCCTCTGGTCTAAAGACATGGCTCAGTACCAGGGTAAGATCTCTTTTTCAACTCTTATTTTCATGTCTGAATTATCTGTGTTCTTGCATCATCATAGCAAATTGTAAAATTCCTTATGTGGGAGGGCTCTGCTCGTAAAGATAGCAAGAGAAGTTCCTTGAGGATGGGTTCCAGCACAAGTCCAAAAGCTCAGAAGACAAAACTTCTGGTCCCAGTGACCAACCCAGATTGGATCCTGCAACATTATTCTGGGACACATATTCGCCTTCATTCGTGAAAGATAGTAATATTGAAACAGAAGCTCATCAGCAATTGTATTATAATTCCGTTTGAGATATACGTAACAAGTTAGTTATACTTCTTCTAACCCATTTCTGGTCTGATAGAAGAAACTTACTTTGGGTTTTTACTAGAAGGCAAGGAGCCCAAAGTAACTCTTGCCATTGCAAAATTTATTTTTCACAGCTTGTAAAATTTACACATTGTTGAAATATCTTATGCTCCATTGGTAACATAACATTGTTGAGTGTATGTTGCTTTTCCCCCTCTCTAGGTCCTGCACTTTATGTGTACAACAATGCTGTTTTCACTCCTGAGGACTGGCATGGCATTCAAGAGATAGCAAGGAGCAGGAAAAAAGATGATCCACTCAAAGTGGGGCGATTTGGAATTGGTTTTAATTCAGTTTACCACATTACTGGTATTTGCAATTATATTTTTGAATGCTTTAGAATTAACATTAAGACACATTATTTCTGTATGCACTGGGATTTGCTCTGGTTTTCTTTTTTTAAAGTTTGTTTTAACATGAATTTAATAAGAAAAACATTTATTTTATTTTTATTTATTTATTTCGACAAGCATGTATTTGATAACAGATACAAGTATAAACATGGTTATGAATACATGAAATGGATATTAATAAAAGGGAACATTAGAACAGGAATGGTAGGCACACTGATGCACTTATGCACGCCCCTTAAAGACCTCTTAGGAATGGGGTGAGGTTGACAATAGACAGTCTAAGGTTAAAGTTTTGGGGATTTGGGGAAGAAACCACAGAGTCAGGTAGTGCATTCCAGGCATTGACCACTCTGTTACTGAAGTCGTAGGTCCATCAGAAGATCTCTTTAAAATCAGAGTGAAATTAGAAGATGTCTAGACCATTCGAAGAACTGAGAGACCAGATTAGGAATAGATCTTCATGAAGAAAAGCTATCTGTAGGTTGCTAGTTGTGGCACATAGTTAAAAAAAGGGGATAGGGAGATATGGCTTTTGAATTGTTTTGTCATTTTTATTGGTGTTAGAACTAGTATGGTCTAATGGTTAAGGTACCAGGCTAGAAAGCAAGAGGTTATGAATTCAAGTCCTGCCTTAGCTATGAAAGAAAGCCAGCTGGGTGACCTTGGGCTAGTCACTTTCTCAGTTTATCTCACCTCACAGGATGCTTAGTTTGGGAAAAATAGAAGGAGGAAGGTGTGTTGGATAAGAAAAAAAAAGAGGAGGGGGGGGGCTAAAGCTTCAAAGTGTTTATTTTTGTACTTAATGCAGACATCTAAGTACATATATCTGCTTTTATCTTGTAGATGTTCCTAGTATATTCAGTGGTGACCAAATTGGAGTGTTGGATCCTCATCAAAAACTTTTTGGACCTTCTGAGTCAGGCCAGTGTTGGAACTTGAAAGATGACATCAAAGAAATCAACGAACTAACAGACCAATTTACACCATTTGTTGGTGTGTTTGGAAGCACAAAGGAAACCTTCAAAAACGGGCATTTCCCTGGCACCTTCTTTCGTTTTCCTCTTCGCCAGCAGCCTTCCCAGCTGAGTAGCAATCTATACAATAAGGATAAAATTCTAGAATTGTTTGATTCATTCAGAGCGGATGCCGATACAGTTCTTCTATTCCTTAAAAGCGTGCAAGATGTCTCCTTACATATTAGAGAGGCTGATGGAACCGAGCGGCTTATTTTTAGAGTTACAGCCAGTGAAAACAAGGCTTTGAAGCATGAAAGACCCAACTCTATCAAAATTTTGGGAAGTGCAATAAACCAGTATTGTAAAGGCATTCCAAGTAATAGTATAACATGCGTGACGTACCATATAAACATAGTTTTAGAAGATGAGAGCATTAAAGATGCACAAAAGACATCTTGGTTGGTATGTAACAGTGTTGGCGGACGAGGGATATGTAATGAATTGGACTGCTTGGCGGATGACTTGAAATATATCCCAACTATTGGCATAGCCATGTCTTTATCAAGCAGCGGAGAAGAAAAAGGAGCCGAGGCCCAATTATCAGGAAGAGCATTTTGTTTCCTTCCATTACCTCCTGGTGAGGAAAGTAAGACTGGCTTGCCGGTTCATGTTAGTGGGTTTTTTGGTCTAACAGACAACAGAAGAAGTATAAAATGGCGAGAACTTGATCAGTGGCGAGATCCAGCAGCCTTGTGGAATGAACTTCTTGTAGCCAACGTGGTCCCTGAGGCCTATGCAACTTTGATACTGGAAGCCATTAAGCAAATGGAAACGGAAACAAATTCAGATTTTCCTTTGTCAGCTGAGCTAATTTACAGATTGTGGCCCCAAAAAAATACAGCAAAAGTTCATTGGCAGCCAATTATAGAACCTCTTCTGAAAAAGTTATTCCAGGACAAAGTTATTTATTCCATCAGTGGCAACTGGGTGAAGGTAGAGGAGGTATATTTTTCAGAAATGGATGAGAGTTTGGAATCTACCCAAGCTGTGTTAAACTACCTTCAGGAATCAGGAAAAGAGGTTGCCAAAGTGCCAGATAATATTGCTAATGCAATCAGTCTTGTGATTTTGGGTATAAAAGCTGTCAAGAAAGTGACTCCGGGAACAGTACGTCACGTGTTAAGGAAATCTGAGCATAAGGGATCTGCCGATGAAAAACTTTGTATCCTAGAGTTTGTGCTTGGCGATGGAAATTATGGTGAACTTATTGGATTGGAGCTTCTGCCATTACAAAATGGGAATTTTATTGCATTCTCTTCATCGGCATCAGCTCAGGATGCAGTCTATATCACTTCAGAAACTTATCCAAGGTACAACCTGTTTTATAAACTCTGTTAATAATAGTTTCATTGAAATACTGATAGTGTTACAGGCAATCGTCAGCTTACGACCACAATTGAGCCCAAAATTTCTGTTGCTTAAGTCAGACACTTGTTAAGTGAATTTTGCCCCGTTTTACGTCCGTTCTTGCCACAGTTGTTAAGTTGAATCACTGTAGTTGTCAAGTTAGTGACAACAGTTTTTTTTAAAAAAATTTTTTTGATTTATATGCCGCCCTTCTCTGGAGACTCAGGGCGGCTTACAATGCGTTAAGCAATAGCCTTCATACTTTTGTATATTTATACAAGTCAGCTTATTGCCCCCAGTTGTTAAGTGAATCTTGCTTCCCCATTGACCTTGCTTATCAGAAAGTTGCAAAATGTGGTTAGTGAACTTTGAGGCACTGCACCCATTATAAATATGAGTTGGTTGCCAAGCATCTGAATTTGGTCACATGACCACGGGGATGCTGAAGCAGTTGTGTGAAAAACAGTCATAAGTCACTTTTTTCAGTGCCGTTGTAACTTAGAATGGTCACTAAACAAACTGTTGTAAGTCGAGGACTACCTGTATTTAATTATAATGTTTAATAGTTCGGTCTGCTTTTACCAGCATCATTTGCTTGTGCAGACTGAGGAGAAAGCCTGCTCTGTGCCTTCAAGTGGCCCACCAGCCCCATGTGTTACTTGTACCTGCAATAGAGAGGAGATTGATTTTTATAAGACCTTCGGCTTAGATGGAAGGATTAAGCCCCGTCTCACTGCACACAGGCTATTATCTTAACTGCAGTAGTGGCCAAAATTGTGGAAACCTTTTGGAAAAAGTGTATTTTCTAAATCTAGCTAATAACACCACTTTTTGTTTTGGAGTACCACCATAAAATTATATATCAATGGAAAGATAATTTAATCAAGAATGTAATGCAATAACTTTTATGAAGAATTTGCTATTAGAATAGCAGCTACAGTATAAAGAAGAAAAGTGAAACACGTAGAAAAAAATGATATATACAAAAATTATCACCATGTCAGTTAATAGTTGGGTAATCTTTAGTATGAATTACAGCCTTACAACATCTTCCCATGGAGTGAACCAGGTCTTTTAGTTCTGCAGCTGTTATAATGTGAAACCAAGATTGAAGGATTGCTTCTATTAACTGGGTTTTATTGCTGGGTCACTTCTTTAGTCAGCTCCATAGATTTTCAATTAGGTTAAGGTCTGGGTTATTCCCAGGACATTCCAAGAGTGGAATATAATTATCTTGAAACTCCAAAAAAAAAGTGTTACTAGCCATCAAACACTTTTTCCCAAAAGGTTTCCACAATTTTGGCCACTACTGTAGGTCCTGAAATATTTTTTTTTACATAATAAAAACAGATTTATTTTTCATAGTATTTATCTTCTAAGTGTTTCATCATTTGACGAATGATGAAAATTCTATAGCAAGAATCACAAGCTAGAACTGTCACTGGGTGTTGAAGCTATTGGATGGATTGTAACCCTGTTATCTTTGAACTATAGGCAAGGTTGTGATTTACCAATATATTAGTGCAGTTAGAACTATCTTTAGCTGATCCTGAAAAAGGTATGTAGGGGAAGGGCTAGTTGGTATTTTTTATGGGAGCCCGTCAGGCCCTTCCCAAATCTGTAGGTGATATTGGGAAATTGAAAAACAAATGAAGAAAATAGCGGTAAATGATTTCCATATTTTCTGTAAAAACATACTCAGAAATGGAGTTAACTAGAGGAAGTAGTTTATGGAGGCTGAAAAAAAATTACCTGGTTCATTGAGAGAATTAATTGGCAGGTTTTGTGAAAAGGAACAAACCTTTTTATTCACTCAGATTCTATCAAGAATCCCTATATTATTACATGACTAATATAAATTATCAAGATGATCAATACTCTATTTTTAATGACTTACTAGGTCCCTCTTCCCAGGTCTTGAAGGAAGATTACTTGCTGATAACCTGAAACCTCAAGTTTTATCTGCTTTAAAAGAAGCTTCAAAAAGTAGAGGTAATATATGTATATCTTGTAAAAAATTTTTTTTTAAATGCAGCGAACTGAAGCACAAGTAGTATCAAGTGATTAGGTTACAAAGAATGTTATATAAAAGATAGAACTCCAAAAGGAATGTAAGTAAAAGGAAATCACTTTATATATCCATATCACTTGATTGTCAACTATTCTCGTTCACAATAGCAATCTAATTGGTTTATATGAAATGAAAAACCTGCTCTGTCTGTAAAAATGAAACCAACTAGTGAGAGAGGGTGACAGAAACCACAACATGAATTGATTAAAGGCAAAACAATATAAAGTGCAATTGAACCAGCAAAAGTCTGGTTATATAATCTATTTAAATTACCAATTTAAATTTATAGTTTCGATGGTGCCTTAATAAAAGTGCTGTTTTTTTGATACAGAAGTTGAAAGATTCTGATAATTAGCATTGTTTGGACATTCACCTGGGAAGCATTTCTCTTTATTCTGGTTCATACAAATTCATATATTGCAGGAACAAAGAATCCCCAAATAAATTATATTTCCATAATGCCAAAACAGTATACGGATTGAATATCACTTGGATTTGTTTGGTACTTCAGAACCATTAGATCCCCACAGTCAGTATATGACATTATTATAACTCCAAATAGCAAATGAAACTTTTTCTTTCCTGAAAATGCATTTTATTGTATTTTAGCCCAACAGCTTCTCTGGGGAGTTAAAGGTAGGATGGTTGTCTGAATGATTGCTGAATTGAAATCTAACATTTGTGTGTATTGGTTTACTGAATATTCTGCTCGTATTGAATGTCAGATTCATATTAGTTTCCATGCTGGTTGACTTGTGCTTTTCAAATTTAATTGACTAACACTACTTAAAGCATATTTGAAAAATAATTGATACCATTAACTTGTCATGCTTATAATAGTGTTTAGAATTGCATTATTAAATATATGATCCATGTTTTATATACATTCATAATGAGCAAAATTGGACTAATAATTAGTTTTTGAGTGTATTTCTTGAACTTCATAAGATAGATGGGTAGAAATTGAGCTAATAAAATTGAGGATTTCATCTTAATTTTTAGAAGAGATGCAGATGAAACTAAATACCGTGTTTCCCCAAAAATAAGACCCTGTCTTATATTTTTTTGAACCCCGAAATAGGCGCTTGGCCTTATTTTCAGGGAGGTCTTATTATTTTGGGGCGCATGGCGCAAGACAGGGATCCTCTTGCCATCTTACCTGATTTCCAGCTCTGTCTCCCTAACCCTAACCAGAGGAAATGGCGGGGACTGGCTGCGCATGCGTTTAAATATTTTCAGGGGAGGGTTTATTTTCGGGGAAACATGGTAAAAAGTGAAATGTGTGTGTGTGAATGTATGAGTGTATTTGTCATATACATTTCAAGTTCTGTAGGAAATATATAGTATCTTGATATTCAGAGGTCAGCAGTATAAAAAGTAACATGATTTTATTCATGACAGCCCTTATTATAAATGATTTAAATATGGCACTTAAAAATTAGTCATAAATAGGTTTGATATTGCTGTTTACAATTCTTTCATTTTGAAAGTTAGATTTCATTATTACCAAAACTACAAAAAAAACTGCAGGTAAAAAAAATACCTGCAGAGTTTTTTGTAGTTTTGGTAATAATGAAAATTAATAGTTTACAACAGTATGAATCACCATTTTATTAATCGGATTTTTAAGCATTACATTGAAAATCATGGTAGAGTTGTGCATATATGTTAATTTGCTTGCTTGGATTTAATAGTTGTACGAGTATATCTAAATAATCACAATATCACATAGACATTTGAGAATTGCTTTAGAAGAGAGACTCCATTCTTTCCTGGACCTTAGTTCTGCTGTGAATGGAAATCGTCCCTCAAGACATGAAATCTAATTAGGATATATTGTTGAGATGCATATCTAAGTCAACACTGATAGAATTCCATTAAAATTTAAAATTTGCATGCTGTTAAACTTTCCAGATTAATTTAAGTTGTAATGTACTGTAAATTGGTGACCACCTTTAAAGTGCTCCATGGCTTAGGGCCGGGGTATCTGTGAGACTGCCTTCTGCCGCCAATAGCCTCCCACTGACCGATTCGCTCGCACAGAGAGGGCCTCCTCAGGGTGCCGTCGGCCAGACAGTGCCGGCTGGCGACCCCTAGGGGAAGAGCCTTCTCTGTGGCAGCACCCGCCTTCTGGAATGACCTACCCCCTGAGATACGCACGATATCAGACCTCCGGACTTTTCGTCGGGCCCTGAAAACACACCTATTCCATCTAGCTGGGCTGGCTTGATCCCATCCTCTCAGTTTTAATTGAATTCGGTTTTAATTGGGTTGTTTTTAAATCTTGGACCGAAATTATTTAATTGTTTTTTAAATTGTTTTTAAATTTTATATGCAATGTTTTATCTTGGCTGTACACCGCCCTGAGTCCCGCAGGAGAAGGGCGGTATAGAAATAAAATAAAATAAATAAATAAAAATAAATAAATAAGAACAAAATAGGCAGATCAAAGAAAAACAATAAAAACTTGGAAAGTGCAGTGGCAGAAAAGGTATCTTAACACACTCTGTTATCTGTTAACTTGAACAAAATACAATGAATTGTGATGGCATCAAGAGTCTGTATATACCAGCTGTTGCCATTTTTCATGCTATGAACAGATACATGACTGAAGAGCGAGTGATCTATTTGATGAAAAAGAAGCATGAATATTTTGTTAGAGCCAAGCACATTATTACATGCCATTTTGTGGGTTACAATAACTACTGATCTCTCTTGGGTTTCTAGTATGCAAAAAATAATCAGATAGTAAAGTTCTGCCTAGTATAGAATTAGAAGGCTGCTTGAGTGCTGTTTTTGTCATTTGTTTGCTTTTTTTGTGACGGAAAAAACACAATAAAGAAAGACGTTCTTTGCTTTTGTTTTGATTTATTTTTCTAAAAGATTTCCAAATTACTTTTCAGTGTTACTAGCTTTTTTTGTTTGTTTGTTTCATTTCAGGAAGACAGTGCACTCAGTTGCAACTTCTAAATCCCGAACGATTTGCACGGCTCATCAAAGAGGTTATGAATACTTTATGGCCCAGTTCAGAGATTACAGTGCAATGGTTTCCTACTTCTGATAAGAATCACCCGCCTATTTCATGGCTCAAAATGGTATGGAAGAATTTGTATATACATTTCTCTGAAGACTTGTCTCTATTTGATGACCTACCACTTATTCCGAAGACATTACTGGATGATGAAGAAGATGCAATAGTTCTTATAAGATTAAGGGCTCCATCACCAATTATTCTAGATGATGGATCTGAAACACAGCTTCCGGAATTTTTACCTGAGATAATTGAGCAACTTGGTGGGATAATTCTTAAGAAACTTGACCCCTCTATTCAACATCCACTTTTAAAGAAATATATACATCCCCCGTCTCCACATATAGTTTTACAGATAGCAGAAAAACTTCCCTTACAGAAATCTGTAAATCAGATTACCTCATTGCCCACGTCACACAAAAATGCACTCAGAAGCTTCCTTGCTAGTTTGACTGATGTTACTGAAAAAGAGAAGAGAGTCATTAATGAGCTAATAATATTTAGGAAAATTGAGCAACCACTTGATGAAGGCAGTGCTTTTACTGCTCTGAAAGTTTGTAAGGTACTGCATCACAATGCCAAACTTCCACCAGATGTAAAATTCTCTGTTTCACTGGTTGACAGCAGTGATGAAGCAACCATTCGTTTAGCAAACATACTGAAAGCAGAACTGTTGAGAACCACTGACTGCATAAAATTTATTTTAAAAGATGTACAGAATGATTTTTATTCTACTGATGAAGCAATAAGAATTATGCTATGGATTCTAGAAAATTTGACTTTCCTCAAAAATGAAAATGCAGAGGTGCTGGATTGGTTGAAACCGTTAAAATTTATTAAAATTTCAGAGGAAAAAATGGTATCTGCCAGTGAACTTTTTGATCCCGAGGTGGAAGTATTACAAGACCTGTTTTATGGGGAAGAAGAGCTCCGTTTCCCCCCCACAGTTTTTAAAACTTCTCCAGATATTCTACATGCTCTGAGATTAATAGGCCTAAAATCTGAGAACAGTTTAGAAGAGAAAGATATTTTATGCGTAGCCCATAAAATTGAGAAGTTGAAGGACTGTGCTAGTACAAGTCAGGATTCACTGACACAAAAAGCCAGGACTTTGTTAATGATTTTGAACAGACGTTCACTACTGCACTCACTTGAAACAAAAGCCACACTGAAAAAAATTAAATGGATTCCAGCTTGCAAACAAAGGCCTCCAAATTACCCAAGTTCATTAATTTGGAAAGGTGATCATTGCTATTTGTGTTCACCACCAGAAATGTGTGATATATCCCAAGCAACTTTAATAGGTTCTTCTGTTCCCCTTGTAGAAAGTGTCCAGCCGAGTATTGAAAAGGCATTAGGGATCACCATCAAACCTAATATCAAGTCAGTGTTAAAACACTTTAAAGTGGTAGTGGACTGGCACAGTTCCAAGAAATTTAGTGACGAAGATTACTATCAGTTTCAGCAAATCTTACTTGAGATTTATGGTTTTATGCACGATCATTTAAGTGAGGGAAAAGAAGCTTTTAAGGCCTTGAAATTTCCCTGGGTCTGGACTGGTAAAACGTTTTGCTCACTATCTCAGGCAGTAATAAAATCACCACCCGATCTTGATCTCCAACCATATCTTCATAGCGTGCCAAAAACCATGGCAAAGTTCCATCAGTTGTTCATCAGTTGTGGGTCAATTGAAGAACTGACCCCAGATCATGTCTCCATGGTAATTCAAAAAATATATCTTAAAAGCGAACAGTCTCTTACTGAAGAAAAGAGTAAGCAAAATCTTCACATTATGTTGAATATTATAAGATGGTTGTACAGTAGCCAGATTCCTGCCAGTTTAAATACACCTGTTCCACTATATTGTAGCAAAAAACCTTTTAAACTTACAATGAAGCCAATCCATGAATGCTGCTACTGTGATATCAAAGTGGATGACTTAAATGATTTGCTTGACGATGCTATGGAGCCAATAATTTTAGTTCATGAAGATATTCCCATGAAAACTGCAGAATGGTTAAATGTGCCATGTCTCAGTACTAGGTTGATCAATCCAGAAAATATGGGGTTTGAACAATCAGGTCAACGAGAACCCCTCACAGTAAGAATTAAAAACATTTTGGAGGAATACCCTTCTGTGTCTGATATCTTCAAAGAGCTGCTTCAGAATGCCGATGATGCCGATGCAACCCAGTGCAATTTTTTGATTGACATGAGAAGAAATAATGACATAAGAGAAAATCTTTTGGATCCAGGAATGGCGGCTTGTCATGGACCAGCTTTGTGGTCTTTTAACAATTCTGAATTTTCAGACTCAGACTTTCTAAATATAACACGGTTAGGTGAGTCCCTAAAAAGAGCAGAGATTGACAAAGTTGGAAAGTTTGGTTTGGGATTTAATTCCGTTTATCATATCACTGACATTCCCATCATTATGAGCAGAGAATTTATGATCATGTTTGATCCAAACATCAACCATCTCAGTAAACATATACGAGATAAATCTAATCCTGGGATCAAGATAAATTGGAAAAAACAGCAGAAGAGACTTAGAAAGTTTCCTAATCAGTTTAAGCCATTCATAGGTGTATTTGATTGTCAGCTACCTTTGACTGTGGAGGCACCTTACAGTTATAAAGGGACCCTTTTCAGACTCTCCTTTAGAACTCAGCAGGAAGCTAAAGTAAGTGAAGTCAGCGCTACCTGTTACAACACTGCAGATATTTATTCTCTTGTGGACGAGTTTAGCATTTGTGGGCATAGGCTGATCATCTTTACTCAGTGTGTAAACTCAATGGTCTTGAAATATTTGAAAGCTGAAGAAGCCAATCCTGAGGTGGCCCAAGACACTGTGACTATTAAAAAAAACCTATGTCCATCCAAAGCAATTACTACCCCCTTTACAAGCGTTCTAAAGGAAGCTGCTAAACTCATGAAAACCTGCAGTAGTAGCACAAAAAAACTTCCCACTGAATCACCAAAGTCTTCATGCATATTACAAATAACTGTAGAAGAATTTCACCATATCTTTAGACGTATTGCCGATTTGCACTCCCCAGTTTTTAGAGGGCCGGAAGACGACACCGTTTCGTTCTTTGAAATGGCTAAAACTGGACAAACCAAAAGGCCCACGGATGAACTGCCACAGAAAACAGTAGATTCTACCACATGGCTTCTGTGTGCTTGCATGGATACCGGAGAAGCCTTAAAATTCTCATTACATGAAAGTGGACGAAGATTAGGACTTGTCCCGTGTGGCGCAGTAGGAGTTATGCTGTGCGAAAGACAGGATCAAAAATGGACAGTGAAATCCAATTTCTGCAACTTGGGAGAAGTATTTTGCTATTTACCACTTAGAATTAAAACAGGTCTACCTGTTCATATCAATGGTTCCTTTGCCATTACATCAAATCGAAAAGAAATCTGGAAAACTGACACAAAAGGAAGGTGGAACACTGTATTTATGCGACATGTTATAGTAAAGGCCTATTTGGAAGCTGTGGTAGTTTTACGCAACATGGCTATATCTGGTGAGCTAGAAGATTACAATTGCTTTGCGGTGTGGCCTGATCCTGATTCAGTGCATGATGATTTTTCAGTTATATGTCAGGGATTTTATGAAGAAATAGCCCACCCAAAAGGCAAAGAAGGAATCAGAGTGTTCTCTGATGGTTCATCTTGGGTGTCAGTGAAGAATGTCAGGTTCTTGGATGATTCCTTGTTGAAACGTCCTGACATAGGAACTGCAGCTTTCAAGATTTTTCTTAAATACCTTAAAAAAACAGGTTCAAAGAATCTTTGTGCTGTGGATCTTCCTTCTTGGGTCAAAACAGGTTTTGAAGAAGCAGGGTGTAAGCAAGTGTTACTAGAGAATACTTTTTCAGAGAAACAATTTTTTTCTGAGGTATTTTTTCCCAATATTCAAGAAATTGAGGCAGAACTTCGTGATCCTTTAATGCACTATGTACTGAATGAGAAAATTAGTGAATTTTCAGAAATACTTTGCATTACTCCATGCATTCCGTGTTCTCTGGCTGAACATCCTCTGGTGGTACCTTCCAGACTGATCCACCCTGAAGGTCGAGTTGCAAAGCTTTATGTCAAAAAAAGATGGAAGGTTTCCTCATGGAACTAGCCTAGATTATCTTAATCCAGTAATTCTGGTCAAATTAGTTCAATTAGGCATGGCTAAAGATGATATTTTATGGGAAGACTTGTTAGAACGTGCAAATTCTGTAGCAGAAATCAACAGGACTGATCATGCGGGAGCTTGCCTCAGAAGCAGTATACTATTAAATCTCATAGATGAAAAACTTAAAAACAAAGATCCAAGAACTAAAGATTTTGCTGAAAAATTTCAAACGATACCATTTCTCCCGTTTCTCACAAAACCTGTAGGCTTCTCCTTACAATGGAAGGGCTCTGAGTTTGAACCTGAAACTATGTTTTCTGCAGTGGACCTTTACACAGTTGATTACCAAGATATACTTTGTCTTCTAAAACCCATACTAAATGAAAATTCTCATTCCTTCAAAGGATGTGGGACTATTCCCTTGGCTGTCAAAGAATTTTTAGGATTACTTAAGAAACCAACTGTGTCTATGGTTATAATGCAATTAAAAGAAGTTGCAAAATGCTTCGATGGAATTACTTTGTATCAGGAAAATATCACCAATGCTTGCTATAAATATCTCCATGAAGCACTACTACAGAATGGAACCACAAAAACAACCATTGTTGAGGAATTGAAAAATTACAGTTTCATTCTAGTTGAGAATGGTTATGTGGACTCCACAAAGGTAGCTTTTCATCTTAATTTTGAGGCATCACCACATCTTCATCAGCTGTCTAATAAATACAGAAATAATTTTCGTGAACTCTTTGAAAGTGTAGGAGTACGTCACGCTTTTATGGTGGAAGACTTTGCTCTAGTTCTTGAAGCGATTGATCAGGAAAGAGGAGGTAATCCACTCACAGAAGCAAATTTTCAACTTTGTAGGAGAATCATCAGTGAAGGAATATGGAGTCTTATTAGAGAAAAGAAGCAGGAATTCTGTGAAAAAAAGTATGGAGAAATTTTGTTACCGGATACTCGCCTTGCCCTTCTACCAGCTAATTCTTTGTGCTACAATGACTGTCCTTGGATAAAAGTGAAAGATACGACAGTAAAATATTGCCATGCGGACATTCCTAGAGAAGTAGCAGTAAAGCTTGGGACAATACCCAAACGACACAAAGCCTTAGAACGGTACGCATCAAATATCTGCTTCACTGCTCCTGGAACTGAGTTTGGACAGAAAGAAAAATTGACCAGCAGAATTAAAAGTATTCTTAACGCATATCCATCCGAAAAAGAAATGCTGAAAGAGCTCCTTCAGAATGCCGATGATGCAAAAGCTACAGAAGTCTGCTTTGTGTTTGATCCTCGGCAGCACCCAGTTGATAGAATATTTGATGAAAAATGGTCCCCTCTTCAGGGCCCGGCTTTGTGTGTCTTCAACAACCAGCCATTTACTGAAGATGACGTTAGAGGGATTCAGAATCTTGGTAAAGGCACTAAAGAAGGCAATCCATGTAAAACTGGTCAATATGGAATAGGGTTCAATTCTGTGTATCATATAACTGATTGTCCTTCTTTCATTTCTGGAAACGATATTCTTTGTATCTTTGACCCTCACGCAAGATATGCTCCAGGGGCAACATCCATTAGTCCTGGACGCATGTTTCGGGACTTGGATGCAGATTTCAGGACCCAGTTCTCTGATGTGTTGGATCTTTATTTAGGAGGCCACTTTAAACTAGACAACTGCACAATGTTTAGATTTCCACTTAGAAATGGAGACATGGCAAAAGTTTCTGAAATTTCTTCTGTGCCGTGCTCTGACAGGATGGTACAGAATCTTCTGGACAAGCTGCGTACGGATGGTGCAGAACTTCTGATGTTTTTGAATCACATGGAGAAAATTTCTATTTGTGAAATAGAGAAAACAACGGGAGCCCTTAATGTGTTATATTCTGTCACTGGCAAAGTAACCGATGGGGATAGATTGAAACGAAAGCAGTTCCATGCTTCAGTAATTGACAGTGTAACAAAGAAGAAACAGCTGAGTGAGATACCTGTGCAGCAGATCACGTACACTATGGTTACGGAAGACTCCGAAGGCAACCTTACAACTTGGTTGATCTGCAATAGGTCAGGTTTCTCAGCCATCGACAAAGTTTCAAAGAGTGTGGTATCAGCACATAAGAACGAGGATATTACGCTTTTCCCTCGAGGGGGAGTTGCAGCATGTATTACTCACAACTATAAAAAACCGCATCGGGCATTTTGTTTCTTACCTTTGTCTTTAGAAACGGGGCTTCCTTTTCATGTGAATGGACACTTCGCTCTGGATTCTGCCAGGCGAAACCTGTGGCGTGATGACAATGGAGTTGGTGTCCGAAGTGACTGGAATAATAGTTTAATGACAGCACTGATAGCACCAGCCTACGTTGAACTTCTAATTCAGCTGAAAAAGCGTTACTTCCAGGGAACTGATCCAACCATGTCAGTTTTACAAAACACGTCTGTGCACACTATGAAAGACACTTTGAAAAAATTTCTATCATTCTTCCCAGTTAATAGACTTGACTTGCAACCAGATTGGTATTGCTTAGTGAAAGCCGTATATAGCTGTATCCACGAGGAATCCAAACGCCTGCTACCTGTTGTGCGAACTCCAAATGTTGATGGTTCTGATTTGCATTCGGCAATTATCATCACTTGGGTTAATATGTCTACCTCAAATAAAGCTAAGCCATTCTTTGACAATTTGCTACAAGACGAGCTACAGCACCTCAAAAATGTTGAGTACAACATCACGACTCGAAAGACTGTAGCAGAGAATGTGTATAGACTCAAACATCTACTCTTAGAAATAGGCTTTAACTTGATTTACAGCTGTGAGGAAACTGCAAATCTTTATCACTGTCTTGTGGATGCTGACATTCCTGTGAGCTACGTAACTCCTGCTGATGTTCGATCATTCTTGATGACATTTTCCTCTCCAGATTCTAATTGCCACATTGGAAAGTTGCCCTGTCGTCTTCAACAGACGAATTTAAAACTTTTCCACAGTCTAAAGCTTCTTGTTGATTACTGTTTTAAAGACACAGAAGAAAATGAGATCCAGATTGAAGGGTTGCCTCTGCTCATTACGCTTGATAGCGTGTTGCAAGTATTTGATTCAAAACGCCCAAAGTTCTTAACAACTTACCATGAATTAATTCCATCTCGTAAAGATTTGTTTATGAACACCCTTTACTTGCGGTACAGCAATATCTTACTGAATTGCAATGTGGCAAAAATATTTGACATCTCCAGTTTTGCTGATTTATTGTCATCTGTGTTGCCAAGAGAATACAAAGCAAGAGGCTGTATGAGATGGAAAGAGAGCTTTGCAACTGAATCCTGGCTTAAGAATTCGTGGCATTTTATTGGTGAATCTGTAAATGACAAAGATGACCAGGAAGAAGCAAAACCAACATTTGAAAATGTTATTGAGATCCTGAAGGATTGGACATTGCTTCCAGGCACAAAATTTACTGTCTCCTCTAATCAGCTTGTTGTACCAGATTGCGATGTGTTGCTTCCACTCAGTCTTATGCACATAGCTCTCTTCCCAAATTCCCAAACTGATAAAGTTTTCCATGCTTTAATGAAAACTGGTTGTATTCAACTTGCATTGAACAAAATTTGCTCCAAAGACAATCCTCTAGTTCCCCTGCTGTCAGGACATACAGCAAATATAGATAACCCCTCAAGCATTTTAAGAGCTATACATTATATGATTCAAACTTCAACGTTTAAGACAGAAAAGTTAGCTGAAAATGACTTTGAGGCCCTCTTGATGTATTTCAGTTGCAACCTAAATCACCTGACCTCTGAAGATGACATAAAAGTTTTGAAGTCCCTTCCATGCTACAAATCTATCAGTGGACGATACATTAGCTTATCAAAATGTGGGTCATGCTATGTACTTACAAGAAGCATTCCCTCCATTGAAGTGGATAAATGGACACAGACAACTTCAGTTGCTTTCCTTGAAGAAAAAATCCACTTAAAAGATTTGTACACTGTGCTAAACTGTGTTCCAGTAGATGATCTTGAAGTTTATTTAAAGCACCTTTTACCAAAGATTGAAAGCCTTTCCTACGATGCAAAACTAGAACATCTGATTCATTTGAAAAATAGGCTTTCTAGCATTGAAGAATCGTCGGAAATAAAGGAGCAGCTGTTTGAGAAGTTAGAGAGCTTTTTGATCATTCATGATGCATGTAATAGACTAAAACCTGCAAAACATTTTTATGACAGGACTGTAAAAGTCTTTGAAGTTATGCTTCCTGAAAAATTGTTCATACCTCAAGATTTCTTTAAAAAATTGGAACAGCTTACAAAACCAAAAAACCGTGCTGCTTTTCTGACATCATGGGTGGCATTGCTTCGAAATATGGGACTAAAGCACGTTATTTCCCAACATCAGTTATTGCAGTTTGCTAAAGAAATCAGCATGAGAGCCAACACTGAAAATTGGACCAAGGATACTCTGCAGAATACAGTGGATGTCCTCCTCCACCATATATTTCAAGAAAGAACTGATTTATTATCTGGAAACTTCCTTAAAGAATTGTCTTTAATTGCGTTTTTGTGTCCAGAACGTGCACCTGCTGAAATTGTTAGATTTCATCCACAATATCAAGAAGTTAATGGCACGCTTCCTCTTATAAAATTTAGTGGAGCCCAAGTAAACCCTAAATTCAAACAAACAGATGTTTTGCAACTTCTTTGGACTTCATGTCCTATACTTCCAGAAAAAGCCACACCTTTAAGTATCAGAGAACAAGAAGGAAGCAGTCTTGGTCCACAAGAACAACTTGAGCAGGTTTTAACAATGCTTAATGTTAACTTAGACCCTCCTTTAGACAAAGTTATAAATAACTGTAGAAATATATGCAATATAACAACTTTGGATGAAGATATGATAAAAACGAGGGCTAAGGTTCTAAGGAGCATCTATGAATTTCTTAGTACAGAGAAAAAGGAATTCCGGTTTCAGCTTCGAGGAGTTGCTTTTGTGATGGTTGAAGAAGGCTGGAAGTTGTTGAAACCTGAGGAAGTAGTAATAAATCTGGAATATGAATCTGACTTCAAACCTTACCTATACAAACTTCCTTTAGAACTTGGCACATTCCACCAACTATTTAAACTCCTAGGCACTGAAGATGTCATTTCAACAAAGCAGTATGTGGAGGTTTTGAGTCGCATATTCAAGAACTCTGAGGGGAAACAGCTTGACCCGAATGAAATGCGTACCGTTAAACGGGTCGTCTCTGGCCTTTTTAAAAGCCTTCAGAATGATTCTGTTAAAGTTAGAAATGACCTTGAGAATGTGCGAGAACTGGCTCTTTATCTTCCAAGCCAGGATGGTAGATTGGTAAAATCAAGCATCTTAGTTTTTGATGATGCGCCACATTATAAAAGTAGAATACAAGGAAACATTGGTGTCCAAATGCTGGTTGATCTTAGCCAATGTTACTTAGGGAAAGACCATGGTTTTCACACTAAGCTGATAATGCTGTTTCCTCAGAAGTTGAGGCCTCGCCTTCTCAGTAGTATACTTGAAGAGCAGTTGGATGAAGATTCACCTAAAACATGTCAATTTGGAGCACTGTGTTCACTTCAGGGCAGGCTTCAGTTACTGCTCTCTTCTGAACAGTTCATTACAGGACTTATTAGAATTATGAAACATGAAAATGACAACACGTTTTTAGCCAATGAAGAAAAAGCCATAAAACTTTGCAAGACCTTAAGAGAAGGCTTGAAAGTTTCTTGTTTTGAGAAGTTGCAAACAACCTTGAGAGTTAAAGGTTTTGCTCCCATTCCTCACAGTAAAAGTGAAACATTCGCCTTTTTAAAGCGATATGGAAATGCAGTGATATTACTCTACATACAGCATTCTGATAGCAAAGACATAAATTTCCTTTTAGCTTTAGCAATGACTCTGAAATCTGCAACTGATAATCTGATTTCTGATACTTCCTATTTAATTGCAATGCTGGGCTGCAATGATATTTACAGAATTAGCGAAAAGCTTGACAGTTTAGGGGTCAAGTATGACTCTTCAGAGCCATCCAAACTTGAACTACCAATGCCTGGTACTCCTATTCCATCTGAAATCCATTATACTCTTCTCATGGATCCAATGAATGTTTTTTATCCAGGTGAATATGTTGGGTATCTTGTTGATGCAGAAGGGGGTGATATCTATGGATCTTACCATCCAACATATACATATGCTATAATAGTGCAAGAGGTAGTAAGAGAAGATGCTGAAAACTCCAGTTTTTTGGGGAAGATTTATCAAATTGACATTGGATATAGCGAATACAAAATTGTAAGCTCTCTTGATTTATACAAATTTTCAAGACCCGATGAGAGTTCTCAGAGCAAGGACAGTGCCCCATCTACTCCAACAAGTCCTACAGAGTTTCCAGCACATGGACCAAGGACAATTCCTCCTCTTTTTCCTGGCAGGGAGAGTCATAAATCATCATCATCTTCTAAACATCATTCCCCCAAAAAAGGTAAGGCAAATTCTCTACCAGAAATTTTAAGGGAAGTTACCTCAGTGATAGAACAAGCCTGGAAGCTTCCAGAATCCGAAAGGAAAAAGATTATAAGAAGGCTTTATCTTAAATGGCATCCAGACAAAAATGCAGAAAATCTTGATCTAGCCAATGAGGTTTTCAAGCATTTACAAAATGAGATTAACCGACTAGAAAAGCAGGCATTTATCGATCAAAATGCAGACAGGGCATCCAGGCGGACATTTTCATCCTCGGCTTCTCGATTTCAATCAGACAAATTTTCATTTCAGAGGTTTTATACTTCGTGGAATCAAGAAGCCACAAGCCATAAGTCTGAAAGGCAACACTCTAGAGAAAAAAGTCATTCCTCTACTGGCCCTTCATACTCACAGCGATTTTTTGTGCCACCTACATTCAAGTCTGTTGGAAATCCCGTTGAAGCACGTAGATGGTTGAGGCAAGCTAGAGCAAATTTTTCAGCTGCCAGAAATGATCTTCATAAAAATGCCAATGAATGGGTCTGCTTTAAATGTTACTTATCCACTAAATTAGCTCTGATCGCTGCTGATTATGCAGTAAGGGGGAAGTCAGATAAAGATGTGAAACCGACTGCGTTAGCACAAAAAATTGAAGAATATAGCCAACAGCTTGAAGGTCTTACAAATGACGTCCACACACTGGAAGCCTATGGAGTGGATAGTTTAAAAACTCGCTATCCGGACCTCCTCCCTTTCCCACAGGTTCCAAATGACAGGTTCACTTCTGAAGTTGCCATGAGAGTGATGGAGTGCACAGCATGTATTATCATAAAACTTGAAAACTTTATACAACAGAAGATATGAGAGATGTTAAAGGTATGGTGGATTCATGCCACATTTTTCACCATTTTTGTTTAAAGCTACTTTTTGGTGGCATGTTCTTGTAGGTATGTCATGTATTCAGTCCGATGCCTTTGTTTAACAGGAATGGAAGTCCTTTGTTTATCCTCAGAGAAGGTAATTGCTGTAGCTATGATAAGAGTACATTTGAGTTCACTTTTGTTAGCAAGAAGCAGTTAACTAAATATGATTGAATAAAATGTGATTTAGTTGTGTAGTTACTGTACTTCAGAGGATACACAGGCTTTAGCAGATTGTAAATGTAATAAATATATTCTGTGTTGATTAGGGCAAAAGTAAGTAGTCCTGCAGACCTTAGGTAAGTGAATCTGTCCATTTCTAGAAAGTGGCAGAGGATATCTTTATAGCCGAGAAGTGTTGGGCAGGGTGAACAGTCATGAATCTGTAGCTTATTATGATTACCTGCCAAAAGTTGTGCCATCCTCTGCTACTTTGCAACATTTCCATGAGAACTTTTATCTCTTTCACTGAATGCCATGTTCTGTCCTCAGGCATGCGGAGTTAAGAATATAGAGACTTTGTAAAAATCTGAGCCTATTAGCATATAGTGGAATATGTATTTAAAGATTTGTCAGAGACTGGGCTGTAAAATATGTACACAATAAAGTGGTACAATTAACAGGGATAAAGTGCACTTTATATAACCAAAGCGTTGGACCAGTGTTTTTAAATCTTCGCCATTTTCAGAAGTGTGGACTTCAACTCCTAGAATTCCCCAGGCAGCAAGGGGAATTCTGGGAATTGAAGTCCACACGTCTGAAAGTAACCAAGGCTGAGAAACACTGCTTTGGACTATGGTTAGTAAAATTTGCTTGTATGTATTCATCCAACTTTTTCCCAAGAGGTGTCATTTTCAGTGTACTAATGGAAGACTTGAGTATGTTATTCTTTTTTAAGAAATTCAAAAATCTATGGAGAACATTTCTGCTGGAACAGTCTGTATACATTTGTTTGTTATGGACATTCATTTTATTCCAAATGGAATATGGTTATACCTCTGCTGCATTCTCACATGAAGATTGTTGTGGACTGCACATCATTTTAATCCTACTTGTTTAATGACTTTTCAACACAATATATTGTCTGTATAACTTACTTTAGGTGCTTTGGATATGTTCACGTCTTTGGTTGGATGAGAATTACATGTATATTACATATCACTTTCTGTAGGAATTTCTGAAACTGCACACTAAACCATCTTTCAGACCTTGCCTTGATTTAGCTTTGTGTTTTATTTTATTTTTTTCAACAAGTCACCATTAGAAATAATATAAAAATTAATGTATTTTGGTATTCAGTGGGGTATTTTTTAAAAATACATTTTAAATGGTGCTGCAATATTATGCTTTTTTATTTTGTCTCACACAGTGGCACATAAAGAAATTTGAGTTTTTTAGTTCCTACAGTTTCTTTTATAAATTGTTATACTTTTGATAATGCCATGTAAATTATTAAATATTTGTAAAACAAACTTGTACCAATAAACCTGTTGTAGTTAGTATTGTATTCCATTATATAATGGTTGTAAATTTCATTGATTAGTACACTGAAAGGATCATTTCACTTAAAAATGTAATTTGCAACAAAAAAAAAAGATTATAGAGAAAATAAAATAAAAACAATTGCAATACAGGAAAAAAATGGTAGCTCTTGAAACAAATGTAAAAAGGTGTTTGGAAAAATAGCTCAGCAAATTCTAGGCTTTGAAATCTTTAAGGCTTTGATTGCAAAGCCATGTGATTATTTCCGCTGCTAAGTGCCATAACATAAAATTTAATAATAAAACTCAAAAAACTCTTTAGGCTGCGTGTGTTGGTTTTTAAAAAATTTGTTTTACCAGTAGTGCTCAGGAGAGAACACACCTGCCCACCCCTTACCTCAACACTTTTGATTATTTTGTTGTTTTGCTTTTGTGAGAAGAAAATTGCAATTTCCAAATGGTGCCTCAGCTTTCAGTTTACTGGAAGGGATCTCCTGAATGAGCACCAGACTGTAATTCATGAGTTTGAAATAGGGAGGGGGGGGGTCAATTTGAGCTTCTAAAAATTAAAAGTGGGTGAGTTAGGATAGCAAACCAAAAAAATATCCATCCCTGTTTATGGCTTTTGCAGAGTTGAAACTTCTGTATTAGAACTACAAGGCCATTTAGTTGATTTGCTGAAGGAAAAAATGATCTTATCTCTTGCTTTTGAGAAAAGAGGACATATCTAAGATTTGCCCTTTATTTAGTATCTCAATTCCCATACTTTTGTAAAGAAAAAAAAATGTTTTCTATTTATTTATTCTTTCATGCATGCATAAAGGTAAAGGCTCCCCTCGCACATATGTGCTAGTTGTTCCTGACTCTAGGGTGTGGTGCTCATCTCTGTTTCAAAGCTGAAAAGCCATTGCTATCCAAAGACGTCTCCATGGTCATGTGGCCGGTATGACTAAACACCAAAGGCGCATAGAACGCTGTTACTTTCCCATCAAAGGTGGTCCCTATTTTTCTACTTGAATTTTTTATGTGCTTTCAAACTGCTAGGTTGGCAGAAGCCGGGACAAGTAACGGAAGCTCACCCTATTACGTGGCACTAGGGATTCGAACCGCCAAACTGCCGACCTTTCGATCAACAAGCTCAGCGTCTTAGCCACTGAGCCACCACGTCCCGCATCATGCATGCATGCAAGCAAGCAAGCAAATAAATTCATATAGCAATCCCTCTTAACATCTAAAAAATTAATACATACAGTGCAAAATAGCAGAAACAATCTATACGTAGTTGAGGCATCCTTATCTGTACCAGCATAAAAGCAAACCGCACATACCAGATCCCAGAGTTTGAAGGAAGATCCAAGTCTTTAGGGTATTGTGAAAGTCCAGGAGGAAGACAGGCAGAAAAGCATGCCCCTTGCCTCTCATCAAATTACGTTCCTCCCCAGAAGGAACCTGAAGTATGCCTCAGCTGTGAAATCTGGTGGGATAGGCAAAAGTCTCTATAGGCAAGCATTCCTACAATTACAGTAGTGGCCAAAATTGTGGAAACCTTTTGGGAAAAGTATTTTTGAGGTTTGATGGCTAATAACACCACTTTTTTTGGAGTTTCAAGGTAATCATATTCCACTGCTGGAATGGCTTAAGAATAGCCCAGACCTTAACCCAATTGAAAATCTATGGAGCCGACTAAAGAAACTTGTTAGTCAGAAGTGACTCAGCAATAAAACCCAGTTAATAGAAGCAATCATTCAATCTTAGTTTCACATTATAACAGCTGCAGAACTAAAAAAACTTGGTTCACTCCATGGGAAGACGTTGTAAGGCTGTAATTCATACTAAAGATTACCCAACTATTAACTGACGTGATAATTTTTGTATATATCATTTTTTTCTACATGTTTCACTTTTCTTCTTTATACTGCAGCTATTCTAATAGCAAATTCTTCATAAAAGTTATTGCATTACATTCTTGATTAAATTATCTTTCCATTGATATATAATTTTATGGTAGTACTCCAAAACAAAAAGTGGTGTTATTAGCTAGATTTAGAAAATACACTTTTCCCAAAAGGTTTCCACAATTTTGGCCACTACTGTAACTTGGGCCTGGACTATGGGGCTATAAAGATGACAACTGACATCTTGAATTGCACCTGGAAACCAGTGTAGCTCATGTAGCAGTTTTTTTTTTAATTTGATTTATATGCCGCCCTTCTCCGAAGACTCAGGGCGGCTTACAATGCGTTAAGCAATAGCCTTCATACTTTTATATATTTTATACAAAGTCAGCATATTGCCCCCACAATCTGGGTCCTCATTTTACCTACCTTAGAAAGGCTGAGTCAACCTTGAGCCTGGTGAGATTTGAACTTGCAGTAATTGCAGGCAGCTGATGTTAATAACAGTGCTTTAGTCTGCTGCGCTACCAGATGCCCGTGTAATATTACACGGGCATCATGTGCTGTGCCCAAAATTCTACAGTGTGCTACATTCAGGAGCAGTTGAAGCACCCAAATGTTTTTCAAGGGCGACATAAGAGCATGTTGAAATAGTCCAACTCATAGTGCACCTGGGTAGTGATTTAAGCAGGTGTGACTTGTAAGTAGTGCCTCCTGATATAGGAATATAATTGACATATCAAATGGGTTTAGAATAGAATAGAATTCTTTATTGGCCAAGTGTGATTGGACACACAAGGAATTTGTCTTGGTGCATACGCTCTCAGTGTACATAAAAGATAACATTCGTCAAATTTGTGAATTAAGTCTCCTGGCTGTAGTGCCACCTTCTGCTTAAGCCACATCCATGAGTCCACAAGGACCCCATATTGCACACCATTCTGTCTGCGGGAATGTTATCCCTTTCACAGTTTTTTTTTTAAATGGAAGATCACCAGATTGGGGTTTATGTGTGCATGCACTAAAGCCCACAGCCTCCCAGTTAAGTTTATGGGTGGTTGTTCAGATTCCCAGAAGGGAGAGATTGCATTCCAGAGGAGGAAGAGACAATGCAGTTTGTGTGAGAGAAAGAGGACGAAGATGGCTCCTCCCTAATGGTTCCCTTATGTTTTATGGTGCAAGTAGTCTGCTTTAGTTTGGCAAGATTTCTGCTTATAGGTAAGACATCTGCTTAGAACATGGGTGTCAAACTCACACCGTCACGTGATGTTTCACAATGGTTTTCCCATTTGTGGAGCTGGGGTGGGCTTGGTCTGTGCATGACGCATCCGGCCCATGGGCCACCAGTTTGACATCCCTGGCTTAGAAGAATAGCAAGGTGTCTGTCTTGGTTTTTGGAGCCTGACAGTTTGCCTTGAAGCCTTTTTTCTCCTCCCAGACTCTCACAGCTTCCAGGCCCTGGAAAAGACAGTGTCACTCGAACAGTCTGAGGCAGAGATCTATACCTGAATTTTATCAGCATATTGATGATACTTCACCTGTGCTGATAGACATCTACCAGAGGTTTCCTGTAGATTTTCAATAGAAACTGGGAGAGCACATTGAGGATGAGGTAGGATTTATTACAAACGGACAGCATTAAGCAGCAACAGAGAAAACCCACAGTCATCAAAGTTCCCACAACCAGGCTTCGGGGCTGAGCACAAAGGCTGAAACACAACATAAGAAAAACATGGAGGCTGCTTTCCCCAGGAACAGCTCATCTCCTGTCCTCCACTCTATGTTCCCATGCCTATTTTTAGTTACCAGTTTGGGGGTAGCTGTGAAATGATTAACAAATCCAACCAAGGAATAA